CTTTGTGTAAAAGTGGTCAAATGACCTGGCAGCCACTTTGCGTGTAGCATTGGTTATATTAGTGTATCAAATTGTAACTATTTCATTGATCTTATTTCTGAAATTATTACTCCAGTCGTCTAAATCAGAAGAAGATGCCACTTCCATCAACAAACAGTACATTTCACACGGTAGCTTTCTGTGAAAGGTGGCCCAATTCGTACAGAAATTTCGGCCCAGCTGTAAAAAACCATCATTATTATGTTTTTAATTTTAACCTTCGCATGGTCCATTTCTCAGGGCTGTTTTTGTAATTTCCTTGATGGACTTTGTTGCCATGAGACCTTGGGCGGGAACACTGTTTTTTGAACACTACAAAAAGATTTTGCTTATATATATATATATAAGAGATCAAATACAAACTATGTTTAATTTACTAACCTACAAACTAGTCCTAGCCATTCATTTAGTGCAGATCACCGTTTGTATCTATGTTAACTGTTCACAACCAACTAATTAAAATTGAGGGTGTTTTAGTCAATTAATCCACTTCTATAATGGAACACAAATCACGCTGGTTACTTTCCATTCTCATAACCGCTTTCTTTCCATTTATTCTCTCAATCCATCTATTCGATCGATCATGGATTTCATCTCTGCGCTTGTCTTCTTCATCGTGGATTATGATTTGCTACAGTTAATCATCTCTCTTCATTAACATCGAACGCCATGGAATCAGGTACTCATATATTTTTCATGAACTCCGTTTTATACACACACACAAAACTTCAGATGTTGATCGTATGTTCTGTTCGTGTGTCCAGGTCGTGCGATTGATTCGCAATTCAGGTCGATTTTATCATGTATCTTCTCACTAACAGATTTCATAATTAAATGTTGATAATGTTACCTTTTTTCACTTTCTATGTATGTTTTCTTTATGTGTACTCTATTGTATATGAATTGTGAATGAAGCCGAACTGCAACTTCTTACCGTAAAGAGATTACATAATTATTTTAATATTTGTTGAAATTCTGTTTGTTTTCCATTTTTGTCTTCTGTAAGGTAAAATATGTATTATGCATTTGTTTGTGTTGTATGGTGCATTTAATGAACTAATATTTTTATTGTTTTTTAATATTAGTTTTTGTTCATGTTTAATATCATAGATCGTTTGTTGTTTATATAGATCCGAATTGTGGTTTTCAAATTTCTCATGGGGGTTCAAAGTACTGGATCCCTGAATGTTCACCCGAAAAGAAACCGGTTGTTGGATTGATATTTGGTTAATAGCAGATAGTGTAAGATGGGTTTAGTGAAGCCATTGACTTCAATTTATGATTCTATATTTGAGCAGACTTTATTCATGGAGGAGAATAAGATCTTTTTTTTCAAGGAAGAATAAGATCTCTGTTAACACTATGGTCTCACATATATGCCTGTATGGCCTTTGTTGAAAATAATCCCAGCTACTTGAAGTAGTTTTCAGGTACAATTAAAGACCAAAAGGAGTTTTTCCTTTCTGTACATAAAGGTGTTGGTCACGATTCAACACACAAGTCATTAATTGAATCATTTTGTGGTTGTTGTGTGTCGTTCGAAGTGACTGTGCACCCCCCGCAGAAGGCAAAAATAAGAGTTCTGGACGTAGGATGACATCTTCCAAGGAAGTTTCAATTGAAGAATCTCAACGCCCCAAATGAATTTGTAAATCATGCAATGAGATGGCGCATCATGATAGTGGGAATTGTCTTTGAATAAATAGGTTTGCTTTAAGTTAAAGTTTACGTTTGTTATTGATGTTGTTTGACATTGCTTATACGTACAAACTGTACGTTGGAAATTAATATACTTTTATATTAATGGTTTTGCATTTTAATTTTGTAGTATCTATTTTCAAATTTTTGTTATTGTTTGGCTTTATCGGTCCGTGCTTTACCATTTGCATCATTGAATATTCGTTTATGCATCATTCTATGACAAGAACTACATTAATGAATATTTGTTTATGCATCATTCTATAACAAGGACATATAACTGCTAATATCATCTTATACTTCACAATGTTGCATTTTTATATGTTTTGTATTGCATATTACAATTGTTAATGTCATCTTATACATGACAAAATATCTTTTGTAAAGATCTCAACACCTGTATGGAATCTATGATATTAAAGTTCATAACAAATTAAACTTGAATTTGTTTTCCTGCCTTTGCCTCTCAATTCATTTCTCTGCGCTCATCATGCTGCATATTCATCACAGGAGCGTCTCTTCCTAATGTAATGACAATAATTCAAATTAGATTTTCACAATTTTAAATGAATCTTATATGTCAAAAGTTAGTTTTTAACATTTGCATTTTTTCCTCTTTCCTTTGCCCTTTTTGTTATGTTGCACATTGCTTGTCAATGCACCTTCTTGTTTTCTTTTTGTTCATATCACTTGATTCTCTTCTTCATTTTGTATTATATGTGCATGTCATTGTTTAGCTTACTTGTACTAGTCACATACAAAAACCACAATATGAATAAGGTTCAATGTGAGCATATACACTTTGACTTTCAATCAAAATTTTACAGTACTACCTAACTCATAAGCACACGTACTAATCCAACTGTTATGAGACCTGCAACACTTGGCTTGGTTAAATGCATCTTGTACCATAAAATTATGCATCCACATGACTCACAAGCATAAGTCATATTCATCAACACAATGTATCTCATTTCTTAAACTAATGCATCTTACACATAATATTTATGCATCATTAAATTGTTTTGTATCAAACTGAATTAAGCACAACTATTGCATCTTACAACTCCATATGTTGCTCCTAACTTCTATCAATATTGAACCAATACTATGCATCACACTGTTATCACACTTTCATTTTCACTTAACTGTAAATGCATCTTGTACTATAAAATTATGCATCTACATCACTAAGTCATATATATCAAAATAGTGCATCTCATTTCTTAAACTTTTGCAATTTAAACATAATACTTATGCATCATCAAATTGTTTCGCATTCCAACTACAATAACCACAACTAGTGCATCTTACAACTCCACATGTTGCACCTAACTTCTCTCAACATTGATCCAATACTATGCATTGCTGTTATCACACTTTCATTTTCAATTAACTTTAAATGCATCTTGTATCACACAATCATGCATACACATGACACACAAACACAAGACATTTTCATTACAATTATGCATCTCAGAAATTAAACATCTGCATCTTCACTCTAATACAAATGCATCACACATCCTTCTTACATTCCAAGTGCATTAAGCAAAACAAATGCATCTTACAACTACAAATGCTGCAAAGAATCTTGTTTCAACTCTAATGTGACTACAATTAAACCAAATAGGTTTGTTCATTTTTTAAATCACAATAATGCATCTAGATTTCACAATTTTGCATGTTTTGTCTTAAACACTTGCAGTTCTTTTATCTGATAATTGTGTTAATGATCATCAAGCTCCATTTGCATTTGTATTGATATAACGGAGGGATGAAAATGACTACTTTCATCAAACACCAAGCCTTCACTGCACTCAACGTCGCTTAAAAATCTTCGAAAACCTTTCTCCAGGCTTCGAACAACTTGCTCCAGTCTTTGACCGAGTTGCGTCCTCTGTTTGTATGTTCTGCAACTTACCTTTTTTCACGTTGGTATTCAAGGCCAGTTACCTTCTTAGTGGATATTAACCGTAAAGTTAGGGATTTCTAAAGTTAATCCCAATTTTGATTTCAGCGACTTTGTTTTGGAAATCTAAAGTTACCTTTGTGACCTTTTTAAATGCGTAAACATTTCAAACGATGGAATTTGTTTTATCCCCTGCATCTCAGTGCACAGTTTAAACAATGCAGCCCATATGTATCAGCGGTCCGTTTTAGCCAATCTAACGGATGTCGTTAGTTTGTAGTTTGCACTGGGAGCTTGGTTTGTATGGGATCTTGCCCCTATATATATATATATATACATATATACATATAGATATACAGATATATAGATAATAATAGCCATCCCATATAGCCCAATAATAATAGCCATCTCAGCTAGCCCATAACCCAGCCCAACATCAAATATTAAATCCTACCCAACTACCTAGACCTAGAATAGCCATATATAAAGTGTGTATATCCCTCAGCCCCCCTCTCATGTCCGTGCATTCATTCAAACCGGTTATCCCGATGACTCTTGATTTGGATACAGCTCTGTAGACTTTTGGCCATTTTCTCACGAAATCTGTACTTGAAGCCCTCTCAAGAGATCATGGAAGCCGATTATTAGCCCCAAATTTGACGGTATGAGTGTTGATTTCATCAATTTAATCTTTTTTCATGTCATCTTATCCGACAACTGGATCGGTTACGATGGCTGGGGATAATCATATTATCTCAGACCATGTCTACTATTGTTGTGATTTGGGTATATCCATTTTGTCTCTTTCCTTGAATTTTTATGCTTGTATGTATTTCTCTGTGCATGCCGTTCTGAATGGAATCGTTCTGAATGGAATCGGGATAAATAGCGTTGGACATGATTGTTTTTTTCAATACAAAGCATCTGTTACCGTTTTATATTGTTCACTAAATGTGTATTTTTTTTAGATAAAATAATGTTTGACGGTTTTTTTAACCTGGTCGGCAAACCACCAAAATCAGTGGAGCAAATGCCGGGGAACATTTGCCAGATTTTATAACCCCAAAGCGTGAAAAAACATAAAGAAGAAGAGGGAGACCAAACTAAAACCTCTTCCAAAGGAAATACAAATGATTATGATAGAATGCAGGGAAAGGAGATAGCATCCAAATAGAGTACTCCTAGAAGAATATCTGGAACCTGGTCTGAAGCCCGCCAATAGGCCTATCCAGCCTATTTTAGCCACCAAAGAAGCAGCCCTGTTACATTGGGCCGGTATCAGTCCAAAACCGCTCAAGAGTCCAGTCCGAGTCATAAGGCCCGTACACCGCCCCACCTTCCACAGCTTTCCCCTGAACCGACAACCCCCATTCCAGAGCTTTCCTAAAAATCTCTTCCATATCGTCGCAGCTGACCGGAGAGCCACTCAGAGGGAAGCCTTCCGCCGCAACCGCCGCACCGGAGTGGTCTCTTAACAAGAAACCTGCAGAAGATCTACCATTCTGTCTAAAGACCGCCCAACTAAGCTTCAAGTTCCCAGGTGAAGGTTTACTCCATTTCCAGATTCTAGGCTTTTCTCTGCCAAAGCTCTCAGGTATTAACCCGGCTCCCTTCAACCTCACACTTCCTTTTAACGATTCATTAGCAAAGCACCAATTAACGTGTTTATTTTGTTGAATGAATTTGTAATTTTTTTTGGAGTGGATGCATAGATCTTTTGAGATATCTTTTCGGTACTTAGATCTTTGAAAAACAATAAGCCATATGTACCATGTTTGATAGACATTGACGAAAATAAATAATTTTGGTGTCCGTATACAAATTATGCCTCACATATATGACAGTACTATAGTGATATCTCAAATCAATGAGATCCCTAGTAGATACATGTCATACATAAGCGAGTTTATATTGCTATATGAATAATATTGTATACATAACACATTTGGTTTGTAATGTGTACATATGAATGACATTGTATACATACTTTGATAATAATACAAAAACCAAATTGTACTTGTAAATTTAACTTGGCCTTTATGTATTCTGTGATGTGATGTTGTTAAACCCCAACTAAACAACATTTTCTATTTACAAAACAACTTATTTTCTATTTACGAAACAACTTATAAGCATTTTAAATTTATTAAAATTAAAATGTACTGATTATGAAATCAATTCATCAAATTCATCTTCGAATGACTAATGATTGTATTCAAAAGTAGTTGAAACTTTCACATTGTAATCTGTATAATTAGATAGTATTGGAACTAATTATTTATTTTTCAAAGGCTAAAACACTTTTTGTTGTTCATATAAGATTGTTGAAGAAAGCATGTGTTAAAAATTTTGTTTCTAAATCATAAATGATTTCCTATTTAATTGTTAATGCCTATAAGTTTGTTTTTATAGTGAAGATGGCACATAACTGCTCTAACATTTATGGGCGATGTAATGAAAATTCTGAGAAAGAGAAAACCCCATATTATTAAAAATTTAAAAATCAAAACCACAAAAGATAGGGCCTCCTTCAGCATCATTTTCTGTTTTCTGTTTCATAGCTCTAAAAATTGAAAACCAGAATATGATGTTTTCGGTTTTATGCTGGTAATTTTCAAAATCAACATTTGCTATAAGCAAAACCTTTTTTAATTTATATTGCAACACATATCATATGTCTTTTGAAACCATAAACAAAAACTAACTATGACTAATCCAAATCTAAAAGACAAAAGAAGACTAAAACAATGTATATGTAATAGATGAGCATTATAGGTATTTAGGAAAGGGAGCTGATCTTCCAATCCCATTATTGCCCCGAGTGGCCGAGTCTTAAGCTATTCCTTATTTCCTTACTCGTATCAAATTTTAAGCAAATCAATTGGATCAAACGAAAATCTACAGGCGATCGAATAAAAAAAGGTAAGGAGAGAATATATGTAACCCTACTCACCTGAACGTTAGATCTGAGAGGCAGCAAGGCTAAGACTCCTAGGTTCGCTCTTACAACGGCCTCTGAAAACTCAGAATCTCAAGGTTCGACGACTTAGACCGTTTGGTGAGCTTGATCTTCTTATGATTGCTCCCTCCTCCTCTTCTCTCAATCTCTCTGGTCACGCTTGGTCGATTTCTTTCGTTGGAGCTCTGCTCCTTTTTGTTTTTACCTGTTCCCCAAATTTTTGATACTTTATACGATCATTTGTGCGGATGGGACCATACCCCTTATTTGGAATTTGGAATATAAAAAATGTTTGGCGTACACTTTTTGTTGTACACTTTTTGTACACTCATTTGTATCACGCATACAGAGTTCTCTTCAAAAAATGTACACCATTATCAATTATCACTACCTCCTATTTGCAAAGTCAATGTTTGCATTACATTTTATTACTCCCTCTGTCTCTCCGTTCCTCAAAACTTTATCAAAGTTTACAAGAACCAATAATTATTTGTTTAAAAAGGAAAGTTGGCAAAGTTATAAGGGGCGGTATGTTCTAACTTGGATTTCACATCTTTTTAGAGATTTTAGTGGAATTTCTGTGTTGGTCCAAAACAGGATGCTCGTAGACTTTTAGGAAAGCTGCATTCGACACTCAAATAGGAATTAGGAAAGTCATACGAATAAGGAAAGTTGCTAAGAGATTTAGTTGCCAGAAATAGCTTTTCAGAAATCGCTCCACTAATTTGAATTACAACCCGCCTTTTATAGGCGTATACAAATCGTAACCGCTATCAATAATAATGACTAATTTATTACAACATTAATATGAAATTAAATACATAATTAAACAATGCATTAATTGCTTGACCGTTAATCTTACTGACTGTCAGGTCAGCCGGGTTGGCAGGCTCTCGATTGGGCTGATAGGCAGGCTCTAGGTCGTGGTTTGGGCCGATTAGGCTCTGGGCCTAGTTCCATAACTCCATCACGAGTCCCCCACTCCCTTAGTCGAGTAGTAGACTCTGCTACGAGGGAGTAGTCCAAGTCAACTGCCCTTCTTCGAGACGGGAAGATCTCTTAGTCCATGTGGGGGAGATGCCTCATTAAAAACCTTCATTAGGAAAAAACCCAATGGGAAAAAATCCTAATGAAGGGAAAAAGAGTACACATGATGCCCCAAGATGAAGTAAGGGGTGAAACCTTCGGCCTTTATTGCAATGGTCACCATCTGCGAAAAGGATGGCTAGAACTGTTATTCTAGTCGGGCTCGGACTCATCAAGCTCGTCTTCGTTCGGTCGTACCTACACATAAAGCAACAAGTGTAGAATAGAGCATCTGACCCGGTTCAGTGAGTAAGTGAGTCGGACTCACTACTTGAAAAGAGTGACATTGGGGTGTTTGGCTGTTGGCTGATTTTGTTGGCTGATGAGTGATAGCGGATTCTGTTAGCCGTTTTGATTAGCTGATAGTGTTAGTTGTTTATAAAATAGTGTTTTGGTTAAACGTCTATTTGCAATCGGCCGATAACTTGTTAAATTACTTTTAAGGACATCATTTAATTTTTTTGTTAATATTATTAGTACAACGAACTACTTAAAAAATAATTTATGATTTAAAAAAATAAAAAGTTAATGAAAACTAGTACTCCGTAATAATTATTTCAACATTTTTTTGCTGAATCTTTTATGGCTGCACCAAGAATTATAGTGTTTTCAAAATTTCACTCCAGATTTTGTTATGGTAATTTATACGGAGTATGCATTAGCTATAACTAGAGGAAAATACAAACCTAATCATTTTAGAATTTTGTCTTTAATCATTATATTCCCAAGTTGGAGTTCAGGGATGACTTTCGTGTGCAATCAATCACCCAGCCTTTTTTATTTTTAATTACTGAAAGAGGCCAGGAGAAGTGAGGCACGAAGAACCCTGGGCAGAAGAGGAATATAGGCGAAACATTCAACCGGCCGATATCTAAACGCCGATTTCTTTAGCTTTTTCCATTTTGGCTGTTTTGGATAAAAAGCCAACTCAAAAAGCCAACTAACCAAACACTTCATTTAGCTGTTTATCTGGTCAAAAAGCCAAATGGTAGTCAAATCAGCCAAAAAATGGCTGATAAGCTGCTAGCCAACCCCCCATCAAGTTCCCAAGTTAGGTCTCAACCCAGTCTTTGAAAGAAAGATTGAATCCGCGAGTAAGTGAGTTGGACTCGCCACTCGAACGGATAATCCAACCAAGTTCCTAAAGAACTAAAGTATATCAACCTTTTCGGGAAATGTGAATGCCAATTAAGTGACAAAATTGCTCGGAAGAACGTGGCTCTAGGCCCCTAACAAGAGTTAAACTCGCCACCCGAGGTTAGTAGTTCGAACCCGCAAGTAAAAACTTTTGAACAGATGACTTGTTCCCCGAGGTCAGAGTGTGATGCACTAGGAAGAGGTAAGAGCACGCAAGAACTCGTATGGAGTCAAGAGTGTGCGGCATTAACATTTATATTGGAGCTTATTAATTGTCACACCCATATGACGTGACCCGGTGGCGCGAGGGTGTGCGCTCGGCCCGTGTACGAGTGTGTGTGGTCGTCCGGCCTACTTGAGTGATCAGATTTCACAACTCTGTTGTTAAATGTTAACATTACACACACTTAACAAGAGTAAAAGCAATCATATCACTTAAAATATCTTTTCAAATATTTCAATTTATGATTATTTTAAATCATGTATTTCCACATATATTAATTTTATAGTGTGTGTTTTGAAGCACTTAGCTTTAAGGTTCTCCTTAAATTTATAATAATATGGGGTTTTCTCTTTCTCAGAATTTTCATATCGCCCATAAATGTTAGAGCAGTTAATAATTTTCACAAGAGGGGGGTTGATCCTCTGGACCTGCAAAGGGATTGGAAATGCTCTTAAAGGTTCTCCTATTGACTTCTTGATTCGGACATGCCTCTTGGAAGAACGATCGGGTTCTGCAGCCTACAACTATGATGTGCCTGGAGCTGCTTACACTCTCAAGTGGACGTTTCACAATGAACTTGGACTTGTATTTGTTGCTGTTTATCAGAAGATTCTCAATCTTTTGTATGTTGAGGATCTACTGGCCATGGTTAAGCGAGAGTTCTCACAGATATATGACCCAAAGCGAAATGTGTACAACGAATTTAATGATATTTTTCAGCAGTTAACGAAGGAGGCGGAGGCACGTGTTGAGGAATTGAAGAAATCGAAGCAGGTAGGGAAGCCTAAGAAGACTGCACTTGGTAAGAAGCAAGGGCAAGTTCAGAGGGGCAATTTTGATGGAGGCAATAAAAAAAGTGAATCAGGGGATGATGATGGTGAGGAGGACATGGTAAAAAAAAGTTCACCAGAAAATGGTAATTCTAACTGTACATTTGAAAAAGAGAAATTGCCTGCAGAGCGGGTTAATAAGAGTAAAGAAAATGCTAACTCTGAAGCAGGTGCATTTGATGTAAATAAGTTACAGAAACTTAGGTCTAAAGGTGTAAAGAAAAATGATACTATTGGAAAGAAGAGTATTAAGGCAGATCCACAGAAAATATTGAAAAAGAATAGAGTCTGGGATGATAAACCACCACAAGAAAAGTTAGATTTCACTGGCCATGTGAATGAGGATGAGGAGCAGAATGTAGCAGCCATTGCAGTAGATCAGGGTAGGAGCATGATGGACAAAGAGGAATTTATCAATGATAGTGAAAGCGAGGAAGATGAGGATGAAATAGAGAAAGATAGCAAGGTTGAGACAAAGAAGAAAGGGTGGTTCTCATCGATGTTCCAAAGGTAACCATAAATGAGGGAATTCTCCTTCTGCCTATTTTTTATTTCTTTTTCTTCCCCAGTTTTTCTCATCCTTGCTGAATTCTTTCTATTGTTATTTAGTATCTGTATTGGCTGCATTCAAATTAAATGAATGTTGGTTGCTTTTGCCTTAGAAGACTCACTAGTTTTTGTTTGTTTGTCTGATTGTTTTTTTTGCAATATAGAAAGGAAAAAGAGAAATTGTTTATCTCTTCTTTAAATAGTTTTTATGCTTAGTTCTTTATACTCTCTGTTGTATGACAAACCCAACTATCTAAGACTACCTTAGCAATATTCTGAGAGAGTTGATAAATGATAAATTGGTAATGCTTATAATAAGGTGAACTCAGTACAAAGAATTGTGAGACCACCGCTTGGTGCAGGTCGTATTATCTTACACATATTTTGTGCCTTTTGGGTAATTGTAGTGATTAAGGTCAATGTTGGCGTTGCCAATTATAAAATTGCATTTTTTGGTAAGCATATGAGTATGTCTGATCTTATTGTGTACTGCTGGCTTGGATTGCATCCATTTCCTAGCTGTTTTAACATTGAAATTATTATGTACTTGCCCTTCCCTTTTTTTAGTATTGCAGGAAAGGCAAATTTGGAAAAGGAAGATCTGGAACTAGCCTTGAGCGGTCTTAAGGACATGCTTATGAGCAAGAATGTGGTATGCTAATTCATAAAAGATATACATTGATACATGAAAACATTTTAATTGAATGAATTATTATCCTTAAAATTTATGTGCTTCGTTAATGGTTTAATGGTATTCTGTGTATAGGCTGAGGAAATTGCTGAAAAGTTATGTGAATCAGTTGCAGCCAGCCTTGAGGGTAAAAAACAAGCCTCATTTACAAGAATTTCTTCAATAGTAAAGGTATTATGAAAACCATTACCAGCTTATGAAGATAATAAAAAATACTGGGTGTATCGTGGGAATTACTATAAAGGGTGAAAGGAACTGAGCTGACATTTTAAATACTACCTCCGGACTCTGTCCCAAAATACTTGGCCAACTCTTAAAGTTTGGATCATGATGATTTTGCTTTCTATAATATTATCAAAGATAAATATGACACTTTTATGGAAGTACTTTTAACAAAAAACATTTTCATATCATTTTTATATTATACTCTCTCCGTCCCGTTGGAAGGTTCCCGTGAGTAAATGGCATGATTTTTTAGGCAAGTGGTTAAATATAGTAATTTGGGTAAAAAAGAGATGAAAGAAAAAATTTAGAAAAAGTAAACATAAAAAGTGAAAGTAATTGAAAGGAGATAAGTTGGGGAAGGAGAAATAGTGAGACTTGACATGTAATGAGTAGGAAAGAGAAATTTGAGTAAAGGTGTAATTAAAGAGAGTAAATTATTTCCTAAATGCGAATCTTTAAATGGAACACCCAAATAAGGAATGTGGGAACCTTTCAATGAGACGGAGGGAAAAAATAATTTCCAATAAAAATAGATAGTTGGTCAAAGTTATAAAGATGACCAAGTGTTGTGGGACGGAGGTAGTATTTCAACTTTCAGGCATATTTTTTGTGCTCCCTTTTTGCTCTTTGCTTAATTTAAATATTAAAAGCCGTGTTCTTCAAACCAGGTTGCAATGGAGGAGGCTCTTACCCGTATACTTACTCCTAAGCGCTCCATTGATATTTTGAGGGATGTTCATGCAGCGAAGGAACAAGGGAAACCATATGTCGTGGTTTTTGTAGGAGTTAACGGAGTCGGAAAATCAACCAATCTTGCAAAGGTTCAATTAATGTTTGATAAACACCTTATCAAACATTATACAAACACCTTATGTGACAAGCTCTTCCTGCTGCATACAGGTTGCTTATTGGCTTCTGCAGCATAAGATAAACGTAATGATGGCTGCATGTGATACATTCCGTTCAGGAGCTGTGGAGCAACTCCGTACTCATGCACGCAGGCTTCAGGTATGTGTTGGCTTGTGACGTACTCCCTTCGCCTTTGTTTAGGTCCAATTTTCTCTTGAGTCTGCAAGCCTGCAAGTATTCAGGTTTTTCCACATTCCTTATTTAGTAAATTTGTGTGTGAATGAACAATGTCCACAATTACCTTTTGCAAAGCACTTTCTTCTTTTCCAGAATTTATGCCTTAATAACACCAAAAAAAGAGTGCGCACCACTCCACCACTTCTCCAAAGTAGAACTACCCCTAGCATTTTACTCTTAAAATCTATTTAAAAATAAATGCAATGGCTAAAAACCATCGAGGTATTGCTATAATAATAGTAATAATAATAATATAAGTAACCATAACAACAATAATGATAATAATTATTTTTATTTTCATCATTATTCCATCCGTCTTTTTCTTATCCATTTTATGTTATCTTATCTTTTTTTCTATCTTTCTTTTCTTTTATGATTTGATATCATGGATCGATTCATGTTAGCCGACCCCAAAATCTTTTGGGAATAAGGCTTGGATGTTGTTGTTGTACTCCATCCGTCTCAAAATGTAAGATGCAATTGGGTTTGACATGGGTTTCAAGAAAATAAAGAATATATGTTCTTTCACAATTGTAACCCCCAAAAAGTAAAATAAAATTTAAAATATTTTTAGATAAATTAAAATGCGAAGATAAAGAGGTATGGCCAAAAAGTAAAAATTTAGAGCCCATTTGGTAACACTGAAATTGGTTGAATCGATTGATTTTGCTGAAATTTATGAAGTTCACACTGAAGTGGCTGGATTGGCTGATTCTACTGATTTAAGAAAAAATTATATTTAAAATATTTTTTATTAATACAATAAAGAAAAAATTATATGAAAATAACTAAAATGATTCTCTACAGTAACTTCAACTAATACAGCCAAAAAAGTAACTCCAACCGTACTTATTCTTATTATTACTCAATTCAGGACGCGAAATCAAAGTTACGTATTTGGTGAAAAAGTTGGTTGATAAATTTAGCCCGATAAGCCGAAAAACAGGGTCACCAAACGGGCTCGTAGAGGGGTTCAATTTAGGGAAGATTTCATAGTTTCAACAATTTTGGTTTAAACGCTTTTGTACACTATATCACAAACTTTCGCACAAACATACCGACAAAACATGTTTGTTTGAAGAAAATGCAATGTCACTGGCAAGAAATGTTGTGCCACAGCTAATTATTGTCTATCAGAGACATTGTTCCGTGCAAACAGACACAAGCATCTTTGGTAAGTGCATAGCTGTGGGTTCACATAAAATAGTCTCTGGTCACTGTATGAACAATTTACAAGTTTTTGAGATGAGTTTCTTTACACAGCCACAATTATGATTTGCCCGCAATCTTATTTCACACCATGATCCTACTCAACCTGAGTTGCACAAATGTCATTCTCATATTTTTGGGACAACACGAAAAGGAAAATGTATCTTACAAAACGGGATAGACGGAGTATTATTATTGAAGACTATTCTTCTCCTAGAATGTTTCGAAAGCTTGAACATTGATTTGATGTGCCTAACCTTTGTCATCTATAGATCCCAATATATGAGAAGGGCTATGAGAAAGATCCTGCAATTGTTGCAAAGGAAGCAATCCATGAGGCTTCTCGCAATGGTTCTGATGTTGTCCTTGTTGATACAGCTGGCCGAATGCAGGTATTTATTTTTAAAATTCAGATCTTATACCTTCAATATCTTAAAAAAGTAAAAATGGGAGGACCTCCGGACTCGATAGTGTAGAACATGCTATATTTTTTTAGGGGTGGGCATCAAACCCGATCCGAACCGGTACCGAACCGTCCCGTAATGGTACCGAACCGAATACCGGGTATTTAAATGGTTCTATAGATTTTTATCCCGTACCGAAACCGTACTGTTTGAAACGGGTACGGGACCAGTCCTAGATTTTGAGAACCGCAAAATACCGGACCGAACCGTTCGTAAATAATGCATTTGAATTTTTTATATTTTTTTTATATCAATAAATCTAGACCAACAATTTTATACCCCAAGTATGTATTCATGTGTCCCTAAGATATCTGAAATGTGTTTATATACTTCGTATATTGTTAGTTTTTCTTTTTTAGATAAATTTATGTTATATTTTGGTATGTATTGAAAGAATATTAAAATTTTAGAAATCATTAATGATTATTTATTTCTAGTAATGTAGTGTACATGACTTTTTGTTGTATCATGTTTGTGCATTTTTTACAACTTAATTAATATGGTTTAAATCTTAGCTCTCAAGGTTCAACTATAAATTAAATTAGAACTACGGAGTAATATTTAACCTAGAACGAAGATGAAGAACGTTGAAAATTTCTATTATATTCAACAATTTGATGATATTCGTTTTTATATTTTCACATGAACTTAGTAAATTAAAAATGATATTTATCTCATGCGTCATCGTTTTGCAATACTTTTTCTTAGTTGTGTTGCACTATTTGTGTATTTGTGAATTTTAGTACTAGGTATGCAATTTCTTGTATTTATTTCAAAATTTCATGTGAGTTGGTTGGCGTGATGATATCTACTAATTGAAAGATTTGTTCAAAAATTTTAGCATGTGTTTGGCATTGTACCGTACCGTTTTGTACCGTTCCAAAACGACATGGTATCGAACGGTTCTATCCTGGGAACCGGACTGTACCGGACCGTTAAAAACCTCACGGATACATTACGGGTTTTACCAATTTACCAGACCGTTCCAGACCGCGCCCACCCCTAATTTTTTTAATCTATGGAGCTTTGTGGTCACTTTCTTTTACCCGGCTCTTAGATGTCGTGATTGGGATTTCCAACAGGATAATGAACCTTTGATGAGAGCATTATCAAAGCTTATTTACGTCAACAGTCCAGATTTAGTCTTGTTTGTTGGCGAGGCCCTTGTCGGGAATGATGCCGTTGACCAATTAACAAAGTTCAATCAGGTTCCTTGAGATATGCCTTATGATATACTCATATACATAACTGCACGCATGCATACACACTGCCTTCCACTTCATTTTATTTTGTACTGACATTGTTTGCTTTACAAATAGTTTTGTTTTTTGAATATTTAGTTTGACCAACCCACAGTAGTCTTACTCTTCTATACACTTTTTGATTGGTTTTATTTGTAGAAATTGGGTGACTTATCACCCTCGCCGAATCCAAGATTGATTGATGGAATTCTCCTGACCAAGTTTGACACCATTGATGACAAGGTACATCATGCTGCTTAAAATTATCATTTCCCTTTTCTGATGGAATGTGTGCAAGCTTTTATGGATGTGGTTGGTATGACACATTTTCATTATATATTTTATTCTAAATAGCTGACCTTAAATGTGATGTTGTTGCGAGGGTTGCAGGTGGGAGCAGCTTTATCCATGGTCTACGTATCTGGAGCGCCAGTCATGTTTGTGGGTTGTGGGCAGTCGTATACAGATCTGAAGAAGCTCAACGTGAAGTCCATAGTCAAGACCTTGCTCATGTAGAGCAGAGCATGCACGCTGGCTTGCCCTGTTTCATCACACCATTGTCTACTACTATCCCACAATTCCGTCCTGCAGTTTGTGTTGTATGATGTTATTATGACTTTTGAATGCTCTACTGTGTGCCCTGCTCTAGTTATCCCTTTGTCATGATTTTGGATGTTCAATCTAAGTACTCTCTCTCAATTGCTTTCCCACCTCTTCTCTTAGACTAATTTATATGCTTTTTTGTTGTACAGTTGTACTAGTAGAGTCGTAGAGAGTACATGGATCATTTCTGTGACTTATTTTTTATCAGAAAATAAATATACTTTGATCTCTCATAAATTATCAGATATTCCTTTGTCGCTTAAAATTATTCCCATTTACCTTTTTGAGATGTTCCAAAAAATTCCTTTCATTCCCTTTTGGGAAGTGTTGTGTTGCTAACATTCATTTATATTTTCCTTAGGGATGGACCCGCGCCGGTCCAGTTCCGGGCCGGGCCCGGGCGGGCTTTTTTTGCAAATCCTTGGGCCCGGAACCGGCCCGGGTTGATACCGGGTCCGGGTCTAATCGGGCCGGGCCCGGTTCAATGTCTATTTTTTTTTTGCTTTCTTGTTATCCCCCCCCCCCTCACCCTCACCCCCAAATCCCTAAACCTCCCCAAAACACCCAGCCCTACCCTAGGAAAAGAAAAAAATTGAAAAAAAAAATTGTCCCGAGCCCAGCCCGAACCGCCCGGGCCGGTTCGCCCAAAATTGGGCTCGAGCTCGGCCCGCCTGACCCGCCCAAACTGACTAAAAGCCTAGAATTGGCCAACCCGGACCGGGTCCGGTCCGGGCCCGCACAGTAGTGGGCCTGACCGGCCCGGCCCGGTTGAGTCGATCCCTAATTTAGCCTATTCTTTAGGAGGACCGATCCTTTTTGATCGGCAGAACTCTTGTACTCCATCCGTCCCGAAATTATCATCATTCTTTCCTTTTCGATTCGTCCCAAATTTATCTCCTCTTTCCTTTTTTGATAAAGAATATGTGGTTCACAATCATTCTTACACATTTCTCTCTCCTCTGCACAACTCTCCACCACACAAATCCCACTATCTTAATCCCCGTGCCCAGTCAAAATCGAAGTTAATTATGGGACGGAGGGAGTACTTATTTGGCCGATTGGCCCTTTGTTGAAGTGAGAAGAAATTTACCCTACAATACTCTTTCTTATGCTTTACAAAGTCAAAGTTAATAATGTGCGTTTTTAAAAGGTCTGAAGTTTGTATTATAATAAGCTCATTTGGTAGCAGTGACGGTTTGTTCTTCTATGTTTATGAGCAGAATAAGCAGAATAAATAGCTTTTGACTTACTTAGTTGGTTGAAATGGATTTTACCACAATGTTATTCCACTACATTCTCGCCTAACCCCCATCATTACACTATACTCTCATTTCCTACAGTATTGTTATTTTGTTCATGGCATCATTATTGAATTTGTTGATCCTCTTTGTAGTAGAAAGCGCGCTACCTACTTGCCTGATGTTGCTGCTCATGAAGGTAATGGAAACAGTAAACAGATAGATTTTCTGTTCTTTTTTCGCTTTTAAAATTAAACTTCTGATATATCATTCTGTTTATCATACATGCATATCCCAGGCTGGTCGAATATAATATTGAAGCAATCGACTCATTGATAAGAAAGGCAGGTTACAACGGTACCATCTCCCAAGAACTCCGAGAGAGTATTGGGCTTACTCGTTACCAAAGCTCATTGTTTACCATGTGTGGAAATAATGGAATGGCTTACCCAATATCGTAGTCTGGGTGTATATTATATAGAGAAGTGTTTAGAGTACATTAGGAAACATAATATAAAAGGAATCCTAATACAAGGAAACTACTAAATAATAATTACTCTATTACACCCCCTAAATCTGTGCAGGGGAAACAACGAATAGATTGTCTCTAAGAAAAATAAACCGCTGCGGAGAGAGATACTTGGTGAAGATATCCGCAAGCTGAAACTGTGTAGGAACATGACGAACCATCAAATCTCCATGCGAAACACGTTCTCGAACAAAATGATAGTCAATGCTGATGTGTTTGCTGTGTGCATGCTGAATCGGATTAGTGGATAAATAAGAGGCCAAAACATTGTCACACAGCAAACGAACTGGCGTGCGAATGGGTACTCCTAACTCAAACAAAATGGATCGGATATGTAGTGTATCCTGGACGGTGTAAGCAATAGCCCTGTATTCAGCTTCAGTGGATGAGCGGGAAACAGTAGGCTGCTTCTTGGACTTCCAGGAGATTAAGTTAGGACCCATAAAGATAGCAAAGCCAGACGTGGACCGACTAGAATCAGGACACCCGGCCCAATCAGCATCAGAATAAGCCTGAATAGTGGGAGATGATCGGTCTGGCTGAAGCGGTAGTCCGTGATCTGGAGTGCCTTGAAGGTACATGAAAATGCGCTTAACAGCCAAAATATGTGAAGTACAGGGAGCATGCATAAATTGGGAGACCAGGTGAACAGAAAAAGTAATATCAGGTCGAGTCATGGTCAAATACTGTAAAACACCTACCATACTTCTGTACTGCGTAGGATCTGCAAGAAGTTCACCATCAGTAAGAGATAATTTAGTTCTAGATGGAAGAGGGGTGCGAACAGGTTTAAGAGTATGCAGATGAAACCGAGTTAAGAGACCAGACACATATTTTTGTTGGGATAAATAGAGACCCTTAGCCAAACGAATAGCTTGGACACCCAGGAAAAAGTGTAAATCCCCTAAATCCTTCATAGCAAAGTATCGGTCAAGACAAGCAATAAAGGAAGAGATGAAGGAAGAGGAATTACCTGTAATGATAATATCATCCACATATAGAAGCAGGTAAAGAATAGAAGACCTGTGGTGATAAATAAATAAGGAATTATCGGATTTGCTACATATAAAACCATGAGTAAGAAGAAAACTACTAAACCAATTAAACCACGCCCGAGGAGCCTGTTTGAGGCCATAAATGGCTTTACGCAGGCGACACACATGATTAGGAAACTGGGGATGAATAAAACGAGGTGGTTGACTCATATAAACCTCTTCTGTCAGATTGCCATGAAGAAAAACATTTTTGACATCCAACTGACGCATGGTCCAACCAAAGGAGACAACAAGAGACAAAACAACACGAACAGTAGTAGGTTTGACCACATGACTAAAAGTTTCAGAGAAATCAACGCCCGCTTGTTGTGTAAATCCCTGAGCTACTAAACGTGCTTTATGCCTTTCAATTGACCCATCAGAATTAAATTTAATTTTATAAATCCATTTAGACCCAACCACATTTTTATGATGATTAAACAGAACTAAATCCCATGTGTGATTGTCAATTAAAGCATTAAACTCCTCTGCCATAGCTGCCCACCATTTAACATCTTTATTAGCAACCGAAAAACAGGTAGGATCACATGCCGTAATATCTGCTTTGAGAGTAAAAATATTTTTCGGTTTAAATATGCCAGACTTAACACGAGTTTGCATAGGATGAGCGGTAGGATTCGGGGGAGCAGGGGACGTGGTCTATGTGGGCTGGTAGGGGCAGGAGAGAGCTGGTGATAGGAGGGACTATCGGGCTGGTCCGGTGAGGTTGGCGGAGATGTTGCCGGACTGGCAGGTTGCAGGAGGGAGGGTTTCCGAGAGGAGGCAGCATTGTCGTGTGGTATGGGAGAGGATGGCCGAGAGGTTTCGGCATCTGGGGGAAGGCTGGTCAAAGGGTCGGCTAGGCTGCGGGTAGGCGTGATGATCGGGGTAGGTTGGTGGGATATTGATCGAGCTGGAGACACCAATGGGACGTGGGCCTGCGGTGGTGTAGGGGACACGAAGGCAGCTTTATCTGACTGAGAAGAGGTGAGATCAGAATATGGAAAATAATTCTCATGAAATCTAACATTCCGATTAATGTAAATTCTGCCGGTAAGCGGATCAAGACAACGGTAACCTTTATACTCAGGAGCATAGCCCAGAAAAACACATAAATTGGAGCGTGGTGAAAGCTTATTTGCAGACGTGACATTAAAATTTGGAAAACAGGCACACCCAAAAATGCGCATAAAAGAGAAGTCTGAATGGTGATGAAATAATTTTTCAAACGAAGATAACCCATTTAAAGTTGGAGTGGGGAGACGATTGATAATATAGGTAGCAGTAAAAACCGCATCTACCCAGAACGTAGCTGGCATTTTTGCCTCAAAAAGCATAGTGCGAGTTAATTCCAGCAGATGATGATGCTTTCTCTCAGCCACCCCATTTTGTTCAGGAGTGTCAGGACATGATTTTCTGAACAGAATGCCATGTTGAGAGAAAAGATTACGCATACCATGATTATCAAACTCACCCCCTCCATCACTTTGAAAAATTTTAATTTTAGAGTCGAGAAGATTTTCAGCCATGACTTTAAAATGCATAAAATGTTTCAGAACTTCACTTTTATTGCGCATAGGATATAACCAAGTAAAACGGGAAAAATCATCAATAAATAAAACATAATATTTAAAACCATTGTTAGACAAAACAGGTGATTGTCATACATCAGAATGAACCAAAAAATAAAGGGGCGGTAGATTTATGCCAAACTTCTTCAAAAGGTAGCCGTTGAGATTTTCCTAACCGACAAGAAATACAATCATGGGAAAAATTAGAATTGCTAAAAATAGAACCAGACTTTTTAAGTTTATCTAAAATACGGCTGCCACAGTGTCCCAGACACCGATGTCAGACAGGTCCGGAAGCAACATGAGTAGCTGAAGCAACTGATGAGGGATTAGGCCAGGAAATAGGATAAACATCACCTTGATTAGAAGCTTTAAGAAGCACCTCCCCCGAATTGTGGTCCTTAATACAAACAGAATTTTTATTAAAAATTACAAAGCAGTTATTATCAACACATAATTTTTGGATAGATAATAAATTATATTTGAGATGAGGTACATGAAAAACAGATTTTAAATGAAGAGGACGCGACAGAGAAGGCAAAGCTAAATCACCAACAGTCACAACAGGTAAATTAGTGCCATTAGCAACCTTCACAGTTAGTGGTCCAGAATAAATTGATTTATTTTCTAAAATACCTTCAGTAGGGGTCATATGAGCGGAAGCGCCAGAGTCGGGGTACCAAACAGCGGAAGAAGATTCTCCAGTAGGAACAGCTAAAGCAGGGGCGGAAGGTTGAACAAAACGGGATGGACAGTTAACTGCAGAATGACCTGACGAGTGAAAGATTTGACAGACAACAGGTGGAGGAACAGAACCAAAATTATTCTCAAAGGGTGATGATCCTGCAGAAGCATAGTCAGCACAAAAAATATAAGGTGCAGAAGTATAAAACAATGACTCAA